TTGGGACATGTTGAGTTGAAGAGTTTCAACATCTGGAACAACATGTCGGATAAGATGTTTTATGAAGGAGCATGCGACATCACGCATGAGCTGAAGTGGACAGTTAGATTCTATTATGATTTAACTGATGTAGAATATTTCGGGAAATGTTATGCAGCATTATAGGGCACTGATTTAAAGCAAGAAGAATCAATCAGAATATTAAATAATGTACAGTTTCTAAATTTACAGATAATTTATGAATATTTGATTGAAGACCTTGTTTGTAGCAGAAGTTGTTGTTGTTTGTTACAGCTGATATGTTGTAGTTTAAAGGCCCAAATCCAATTGGGTATAGGTTATAAATAGAAGTGTTTGTAACCTAGGAAAGGTACGGGTTCAAGATGTAGAAGTCTAGGGCTTTGTATTTTTATCGCTCTCTAGGAGAGTTGGTATAAGTGAACCACTCAGGTTGTGAGATGGTCACTGTTATTCTCACTCAGAAGCTGTGAAGTAATGAGTTGAGTATTGTTCTTGGAGGAAGATTTGAAGCAACTCCAAGTTGTGGTCTTAGTCAAGAGTCTTGGATAGTGATTGTCATGGAAGTGTGTCTTCCTATTTGTTCAAAATTGTTATTGATCCAATCGCTGTCTGTGATTGAAGATGGATTGGAGAGGGCCTCATATCTAGGTGAGTCTTAGATAGAAATCTAGAAAGGATAGTGATTAAGCGATTAGGCTGTAAACTGGATGTTTGCTGTAGGGTCTATGAATTGGTACTATTTGAGTGGAATTGTCCCTGACTTTGTATGCCCCCGGAATATGAGAGTTGCTCTGAACTAGGTTAACAATTTTGTGTGTTGTTTATGCTTTTCAGCTTTGTTTTTATTGTTAATACCTTGCCTGTTAGTTTATGTCAGACCAAACGTCTCAACATGTCATAGAACATCTGAGTTCTGTCATATCAGAATTTCAAATCACAACCAATCAAACCTCATTTTTCGCCTTAGGGCATTCAAAAACTTTTCAATAAGGACATGTTATTTTCATTCTAGTGCAATACAAACTAATGCTCAAGACTCCCATGCGAAAGCATACAAGCTACATTTAACTGCTAGAATGCGGTCCAAGCGCATCTATTTTATTGCAATACAAACAAACGCTCAAGCCTTCTACGCGTGAGCATACAAGCAACATTTAACTGCTAGAACGCGAACGTTAACATCGTCCGATAAAAACAACCAACAAATACTATTTTTTAACTCACGAACTACAAACTTTAATTTTCTCATTGCATTATGAGAATACGTAGGAACATGATTTTGAAATCTTGGCGAACACACTAATTAAAAACTTTTTTCCCTTAATTAAATCCATATAATAAAGCAATAATCGCAAGTAACCTTTAGACAATAACACCCTTGTGCGCAAAACAATCAAAATAGTTTTCGTTGAATACAATTGACGTGAGGGGTGCGAATACCCCCTTGCATAATCGACTCATGAACCCGAATTTGGTTACGAGACCATTTTCTATACCTTTTGGGATTTTATCGATATTTTCCCTTTTCTTTTGAATAAGTAAAGTTCGAGCGACTCTGTATTTTTTTTGCAGCGTGACAGCTGTTATCCATTACTTTTTTCAAAACTGGTCCTAAGCGTTTCAATTCTATTTCACATTAAACCACATCATGGAGGCCAATCAATGATACTTAAGGCTTCTCCCGACTCCTTCAGTGGCCGATAAAGACTCAGGGGCAACTGTTATGGACCGGCCAAATGTCCAAGGCCAAGGTCATCTCAAATTCACTCCATTTGACCCAAAGTATAAAATTAGTCCACACGCTAAGAGTAAGGTATAATCTCCGATTTCCATTTTCATTATACTTATATTGAATCTTGAATTGACTTTAGCATTGAGGACCATAAAATTTTACTCAAAACCAATGTAAAGGAGATCAGAGACACTATTTAAAATTATCAAATTTTCAACTGCAACCATTTTTTATTCCCGAACATAATAATTTCTTTAAAAATGTAATTTTTTTTAACCTTATACTTCAAAATGTCAATTGTCTCTCATTTCTAAACTTGAATTCTAAAAGAACTAATCAGTGATTTTTTTTAATTTTTTAATTTTGGTTTGTCAAAATAGTGAATAGTAAAATTATTATAGAGATCATGTTGATTAAACTCTATTCGAAAACAAAACACAAAAATGTTTTATGCCACAATTTGTAATTTACTGAAGAAAAACAAAATCTTCATCTAAATAAAAAAACTGAAAGCAGCCGCTACAACATGAAGTCGCACTGAACTCAACTCGCCCGAAAATCCGCCGGAGTAGGTCGTCGGCCCCATAAACAGTGATAAAGTCTTCCAGGTTTTCCTTCTTCTTCGATTTTTGTTTGTATTTTCCTTCAGTTCTCTTGTAGCGCGCGAGTAAGCGATTCCGTCGCCGCTTGCCGCTGCGATAACTGCCCCTTCATAAGGAAAAGCACCGGCGATTAGATTTGCGTCACAGAACCGGCGACGATTTCACGTACGTAGGTTTTACAACCTGATATGAAAATTGGTTTTTCTATCATTGCAGGTGATTTTCAATTTTCAATGTTCATTCAACCGCCACATTTCTAAACCCTAACAATGGAATGCACTGTTTCATTTGCTACTAGTATGCATTTTGTTCCATTGCGAACAACTTTGTGCAGAAACCAGAGAATCACTTTAGCAGCACATTCATCGAATTCGAATAGAAGAGAAAGACCGACGAAGAATTTACTATATCCGCGGCGCGATAAGCAACCTCCGGAGTTTGGTGTTAATTTGTTCTTGAAGAAGCCTAGCTTCCCCAACAATGAACCAACTCATGATGATGATAATAAGGGTTTCAATGTAGAAGAGAACGACGCGGAGGAACAAAATACTGATGTGGTTTGGGAATCGGATGAAATTGATGCTATATCGTCGCTTTTTCAAGGTAGAATCCCACAAAAGCCTGGAACATTGAATCGGGAAAGACCTCTTCCGCTTCCGTCTCCTCACAAGATTCGACCGTTGGGGTTGCCTACGCCGAAAAGACTACCAGATATGGTTTCTTCTCGCGTTTCTATGGATAAGAAATTATATAAAAACCCGAGTTTTTTAGTTGGGTTGGCAAGAGAGATTAGTAGGCTTAATTCAGATGAAGAAGTGTCTATAGTTCTTGGAAAGTGGGTACATATTCTGAGGAAGAGTTCTTTATCATTGACAATAAAGGAATTGGGGCATATGGGGCTCCCAGGGAGAGCTCTACAGACGTTCTGTTGGGCACAGAATCAACCTCATCTCTTCCCAGATGATTGGATTCTGGCCTCGACGATTGAGGTCTTGGCGGGGAACCATGAGTTGAAGAGTCTATTAAACTTAAACAAGTTTACTGGTTTGGCGAGCCGCAGGGTGTTAGAGGCGTTGATTAAAGGTTTTTTAAAAGGGGGGAACCTTAGACCTGCTTGGAAGGTATTGGCAATTGCTAGAAGGGATAAAAGAATGTTGGATTCCAGCATTTATGCGAAATTGATATTGGAACTTGGAAAGAACCCGGATAGATACAGACATATTGAGCCGTTGTTAGAAGAACTCGGAGCACGAGATGAACTGAATTTAACCGCTCGAGATTGTACTGCTATAATAAAAGTATGTGCTAAGATGGGGAAGTTTGAAGTAGTTGAGAACTTGTTTAGTTGGTTCAAACAGTCTGGTTGTCAACCAAGTGTGGTTATGTACACGACTGTTATTCGTAGCCGCCACGCCGAAAACAAACACAGTGAGGCATTGGATTTAGTTTGGGAAATGGAGGCTTCAAATTGCCTCTTTGACCTTCCAGCTTATCGTGCGGTCATTAAGCTGTTTGTTGCTTTAGATGACCTATCACGAGCTGCGAGATATTTTTCAAAACTTAAAGAAGCAGGATTTTCTCCCACTTATGATTTATACAAGGACATGCTTGAAATTTACAGGGCCTCTGGGAGGATTGCAAAGTGCAGAGAGATCTGTAAGGAGGCCGAGATAGCAGGTTTCACAATAGATAAATGTCTAGTGTCATATGATTCATGATTCGATAAATAAAGCACAGTAGAGTATAACTGTATAAGAATTCAATGAGCATTATCATTGTTTGTACCAACTTTGTATCTCTCTTTATGGGCCTCTGTTTGTACATCAAAAAAATATTTTCAACATTGAGGCTAAATTATTATATGTGAATATGCTACTTAACTCTGTGATGGTAGTACCAACTGTTAAGAAATTGGAATGATATGCAAAAATGTGAATCTATTTAGTTTGAAAAACATCTTCTGGTTTCACCTTATATGCTTTGGCTAAGAATGTAAATTATGTTTTGTTATTTTCATCATTTTAACATTTTGCTTCATAGACTAAAATGCAAGTGCAAAGATGGTGCATTTGATGGTTTTACAATTGATCTCCGAACTTCATATGAGTTCATGTTTAAGTTCATTCACTGAAGCATTCACTGATTCATTGTATAACATCTTTGAATCGATATGCTCTTTCACAATCTCTTGAGGGAAAGCATTTTTGATTTCGTGAATAAAAAGCAGTGTTTCTTTTTTGTAGCATTGGAGTTGAATATCGTGTTAATTAGACGCCAAGGTCAATCTCAATTCAATTGTACACCATAACATAAATTATAGTTTACAACTTATGATATGCTTAGTACTGAGAGAAAGCTAGGAAAATATCAACTATATGATGAACATTAACCGAAACTAGAAGAAGCACGACATAAGCAAAAATGTATTTCCATATAAGATAGTTAGGAGTTTGTGGCATTACATAATCCAGCACAAAGAAAACCATGATTTCCATGCCACCAACAACAACAGAATCAAGATTTATAGTTATTCAGCATATTAGGTTATCAGTTTATTCATATAATTTTGTTTCATGGCTTAATGCTGCTCCAATCCTTTCCACCAAGACAGCAAGTATCTCCTAACAATTTAACATAGTTTTACTTCAATGGATGACGGGCTTTAAAGGATGAGCTCTAAGCTTGGACAAATCAAGGTTCGAATCTAGTTCTTCATCCAGTTCACCAACAACACTTCTGCACAGTCCAAATGAAATCCATTAAAACCAACATAAGGCGGGTAGAATATATAAGTAAATGGCAAAGACATAGGAGAAATAGAAACAGAACATACATGTTGTCACCCCTAATGATGTATAAACCCAGAACAAGTTGCTGAACACCTTCCTGTAATTTAGGAACAAGAATGAGCCGAAAATTGGAAAACAAATAAAATCATCACATGCAAGAAAGAATATTATAACAAAAAAAACCCCAATTTCGTCAATAGCATACTATAGCAGAATAACATAAGCATTGGTAGAGTTCGACACAATGCTTTTGGCATGCGACCCATTATTGTCTGTTAGTGGTTGTTATGGCCACTAATTGCAGCGAAACTGCAGTCCCTGACCGCTATTGTGCCCACAATTAGGAATTTGGGTGAAAATCACCCAAATCCTCTTTTTAACGGTTATCTTTTTTTATACAGAAATAGAAGACAAACGTGTTGTTACTCTTTTTTGGATGGCAAAATCAATCCTCTTAAAATACAAAGTGCAGCGTTGTTCGATATCAGGCATATCTAAGCAAAATGTCATTCATATTTCATACCTTGGTAGAGAAAACTCGTTCATGGAATTCATCGAGAATTATATTGGTTGCCTGATCAAAACCTTTTAGAACTCCCTGAAAACAAATAGAAATCAGTCGTAACGATAACGAGAAGTGAAAACAAAATTCTCAACATTTACAAACGACACACCTTCCTGTGAAAGCTAATTTTGATGGAGAGATTATAAAATACAAAGACTCACCACAATATTTCTTCCATCATTTGTAATAACCGAAATCGTCTCTGCCAAATCAACAAAACAAAAACACACAAAAATCTTAAATGAAATATTAAAGAGCAAAACCCTATTATTATGAGGTTAACTAAAACTAAATATCATCAAATTAGTCCCTCAAGCACCAAAATGACTTGGAAACCTTTTTCAATTATGACAATCTTTCTTGCACAATAAATTTTGCCATGTAAATAGAAGTTGTTGAGGATGATAATGAGAAAGCATAGCACCAAAAACCACTTCCAAATGTTAAGAATTAAGAGAGTTATGCACTTGTGGTCAAGAAATCAAGAACTTATCCAATTAGGTCAAACTTCTTCAATCAACTCTTGCATCTTTTGACTTTCTTTGACAAATTGAGGCATGATGAATCATAGTAGACTTTGTAATGATATTAATTTAAAGCATCTTCAATGATGAAGCTTGAATCTCAATGAAGTTTTATTGGAGAAAGTATGAAAATAAACTCATGAACCTATAAATCAACCAAATAAAATGTGTTGTGCTCTCACCTGTAGTATCATCAACTAGAGCAAAAATTCATTGCATTTGTTAGTTTAAAAGTTAGTCAATACAAAACAAATATGATCACAATATACAAATCAAGGTGCTTGGTGATTCCTCATGAGCAGACCTAAAGATAGGGAGAAGAACCAAACTCAATTGTGATCTTGATATGGTTGAATTGATATGAGATGATAGAATAATATTAGGGGGAAAATTGGGGTACAACAGCTGCCCTTATTTAAGTGTCTTCTATCTGGAGATATGAATGTTAAAATCTTCGTATCGACGCGATTGAAGATACTTAAATATAAAACAAACCATATTTTTGGCCCTAAGATACCAAGCAATGCATATGATTGCGCATGCAAGCAAACGAATCCAAAGGTAACACATGACACCACTGGGGAAACAAAAAATAAAAGATCAGAAGAAAATTGGACCAGAAAAATAAATCAATGGTGAATAGAAGACTTGACTCTATTAGGGTAAAGCTCAAGGAGGAGACAAACTAACATCAACTCAAATATTGAGGATAGAAAATAAAGGATAATAGTGATCGACAGATAACTGCAAACTATTCACTCACTGAGAAGATAGCAAAAAAAGGTAACGTCGACCCACATGGGGAAAGAAGTGGTAGGATAATATCAGCAAACACCAGTATTAAGGTAAGTAAAAAATGACCAGCATTAGTACTTATAACTGGAAACATACAAATTCTTCAGAGCAAAGTGAGTCTCAATGACAGACTATCTCCCATAATGACGAGACTACCATCCATCGGAGTAACAAAATCTCAACAATGAACTATCTTCCATAATGACGAGACTACCATATTGGAGTAACAAATATCAACAACAAACTATCTCCCATAATGACAAGACTACCATCCATTGGAGTAACAAAATCTCAACAACGAACTATCTCCCATAATAACGAGACTACCATCCATTGGAGTAACAAATCTCAATAATAAACTATCTCCCATAATGACGAGACTACCATCCATTGGAGCAACAAATCTCAACAACAAACTATCTCCCATAATGACGAGACTACCATCCATTGGAGTAACAAATCTCAACAATGAACTATCTCCCGCAATGACGAGACTACCGTCCATTAGAGTAATAAATCTCAACAACGAACTATCTCCCATAATGACGAGACTACCATCCGTTGGAGTAACAAATCTCAAAAATGAATTATCTCCCATAATGACGAGACTACCATCTATTAGAGTAACAAATCTCAACAACAAACTATCTCCCATAATGACGAGACTATCATCCATTGGAGTAACAAATCCCAACAACGAACTATCTCCCATAATGACGAGACTACCATATATTAGTGTAACAAATCTCAACAACAAACTATCTCCCATAATGACGAGACTACCATCCATTGGAGTAACAAATCTCAACAACGAACTATCTCCCATAATGATGAGACTACCATCCATTGGAGTAACAAATCTCAACAACGAACTATCTCCCATAATGACGAGACTATCACCCATTGAAGTAACAAAATCTTTTCGGAGAACTAACATACTTACTGGGGAAGTACAAATTGATCAAATAAAGAGACATGCTACTTGCTGTTATGAGAAGGAAGTGCAACAATGCTGATGGGAAATGAATTTTGGCTTCTATGAGGAAGTGTCAATATATTCATGCTGAGGAGATAAGGTCTTCTCGTGCAAAATAAATGCATATTATCAATCCAGGGCTTCAGAACCTGTAGAAAACATAATAATAATATTGCCGGGAACCACAAATTCAAACCAAAAACAAACCAGAGTGAAACAGGCAAACGAGATAACACCTGATGAGAAATAAACTCAAAAGGGAAACACAGATCTAATTAGACAATGAATTGAATAGGAAGGCTTGAAGCAAAGTTCTTCCACGGGGAAAACTTAGTGGGAAATTGAAAGGATATATACTTTCTGCTTAAGGTTGACACTCTATTGGAGAGAGGGTAACATAACTCTGCAAAATAAGGTAATATGCCAATAAAATATTAATGAATGCAGATGAGCAATGAATTTTGAATTCAACTATGCATGATGTGTGTATGAATGTATGAATGTTATTATATATATGCTGACAAAACAGACATACAACACTGGGAATAACCAGACAAAATAAGCTTGGGTAACGTAAACACTCGGCTAAATCACATCCAGGATGAAAATTTTCATAAGAAAGTAAGCACCAACTAAGGAAACAAATTCCTATTCCACAACTTAACTTCACTGGGAAGAAACATGGTCCAAAAATAATCAAGTCAAAACAATAAATCAACATAGATACAGAGATATAACATCCTTCTCCAGGCTTCACCGAGGAATATCACACAAATTTCAATGGGGGAAAACAAAGCTTTAACATGTAGACTTCCACTAGGGATTACAATATTTATTTCAATAAGGCACATAGAAATCACATCGTCGAGATATCAACTGGGGATCTCATACTGACTCATTAGGGAGGACAATACCAGATTGTCGAGAGGAGCCCAAAATACATTCTCCAATACCAAGAGAGATGATTACATAAACTTCTCTGGGGAGAAATTATGAAACCACACGGGGATAACAAGTTTCAGAGAGAGACATTATCTTAACTTTACTTGGGGATTTAAAAAGTCAAACAATACAACAAGAAATAAAAAATTATGAGGATTTTAAATCAAACCCATCGTTTGGTGGGAGAAAACCCAAAAAGTTGTCAAATGTTTCAACACTTCTTAGAAAAAATAATGCCCTTGTCTAGTTTCCTGGGAAACAAACAACAACGATAATGCTATCACTGCAAAGGGAGATGTCTTGAAAATGATTCTACCTCATCACATAAAGGGGGAAAGAACTTTCGTCAAATGAGCGAAGACCTCACTAGGGAATCTGGGATGGAGGTTTCAAACCATGCAAACCCGAAATCAAAATAATCAACCTGGACTGAACCAAGACTAGACTGGGGGAAATGGGATCACAAACCCAACATCGCACCCTACATCAATTGGTATCATATCCAACTATTTGAGAAACGACAAGAAGATCATACACATATTAGAAAGAGTGACCTGTGAGAACTTTCCTGGGGAATACCCACTTCCAAAAAAAAATCAGAGTTCATCCATCCTTGAAATCTTTATTTTTTTGTTTTTCTTGAGTCACCAAATCTAAAGTAAAAAGTAATTTGTAAATTCTTTTAAATTTTTTTTATTATTAAATCTCTTTGTTTTGAAAATTACGAACAATAATAATTGGAGTTATTGTAAGCAGAATAGAATAAGAATTGCAAAGAATTAGATAAAAGCTCAAACTTTATTAATAGAATGGTAGTCTGTGAATGGCGAGACCCCATAGATGATTACAAAGTTTGGAGAATAGTAATATATTAGAAAATATACATTGAAATACAATGACCACTATTCTCCCTAACAACTTTGAATTCCTGAGCAGCAACTTCTGTTGAAGTATGGTGAGAGTCTAAGAAAATTATTACTTCAATGGTCAAGTCTTGTTTGACGCAGTTACTTGCCAAGAAATCCTAACTTTTTCCTAAGCTGCCCTTGCGGGTTTTCAATCTAGTGGGAGAATTTATTCTGTTTATGTCTCTTATTTTTTCCTAGACCGCCCTTTCGGATTTTTAGCCTACCGAGACGCTCTTTTTCGCCTAAGCCATCCTTTTGGGTTTTCGACTTAGCGAGCTGTTCTTTTATTTCTTTAGGCAAAGTATTTCTTGACTGCATCAACATTCATAGGACGTGGGAACTCCTCGCCATCCATATTTTCAAAATCAATGTCCCGCTAGAGAAGGCTTTCTTGACAACATACGGGCCGTCAAAATTGGGAGTCCACTTGCCCCTAGAATCAACATTAAAAGACATGATCTTCCTGAGCACGAGGTCGACTTCTCTAAATTCACGAGGATTGACCTTCTTATCAAAATATTTATTCATTATCTTCTGGTATAACTGGCCATGACACAAGGCCGTCATTCTCTTTTCTTCAATCAGATTCAATTGGTCAAACCTGTTCTGGACCAATTCAACTTCTGACAACTTGGTTTCCATTATCACACATAAAGAGGGAATCTCAACCTCAACGGGGAGAACTGCTTCCATACCATACACAAGAGAGAATGAGGTTGCCCCTGTCAAAGTGCGGGCGAATGTACGATACCCATGCAAAGCAAAACGGAGCATCTTATGCCAATATTTATAGGTAGCAACCATTTTCCGGATGATCTTCTTAATATTTTTATTAGCAGCTTCAACAGCCCCATTCATATTTGACCTGTAGGGAGATGAATTGTGATGGACAATCTTGAATTCTTCACAAAGTTCTGTCATCATCTTGTTATTTAGATTCTAGCCGTTGTCGGTGATAATCCTGCTTGGCACACCATACCGACATATAAGATTATTCTTGATAAAGCGTACTACCACCTACTTAGTAAAATTTGCATATAAAGCTGCTTCCACCCATTTGGTGAAGTAGTCAATTGCTACCAAGATAAAACGATGTCCATTCAATGCCTTGGGTTCAATCATTCCAATCATGTCAATACCCAACATAAATAAAGGCCACGGGGAAGAAATAATATTGAGAAGTGTCTGAGGCACATGAATTTTGTCAGCATAAATCTGGAACTTATGGCACTTCGTTGCAAATTTATAACAGTCAGATTCCATTATCATCCAATTGTAGCCTGCCCTAAACATCTTCTTTGCCATCGAATGTCCATTGGCATGAATGCCAAAGGAACCTTCATGGATTTCATGCATCAATATGTCTACTTCGTGTCTATCCACGCATCTGAGCAAGACCATTTTCATAATTTCTTTTGTATGGCACATCTTCATTGAGGAAAAAGCTGTCTGCCAACCTTCTCAATGTCTTTCTATCTTTGTTTGACGCATCAGCCGGGTATTCCTGAGTCTGGAGAAAATGCTTGATATTATAATACCAAGGTTTTTCGTCTGATGTTTCCTCTACTGCAAACACATGAGTCGGCCTATCCAGATGTCAAACTATGATATTGTTGTACCCCAATTTTTGACCTAAGATCCCATCTTCATTTGCATTTTTATTTCAAAGAAATTAAGGGCACAAAATATGGCCAGTTTTAACCTCTCAAACTTCTCCACAACTTCCTCAGAGCACATACAAGATTCCATCATCACTGGTTCATGTGTGCTTCAATGTGTCTTGGAATGCAAGAAAGGATCAGGCTATGTGAGATGATTTAAAGCACTTCGACCAAAATTCAACTTTTTGCAAGATCAAGTTCAAACGATCATAACTTCTTCATTATTCCATATCTTTTGAGTGTTTCTTTTTGCATATGACTCTCCTTGATGTCATCTCCCACTCCTCTTTACAAGTCAAGAGTTGATTATGTGCGGAGGATCATCAAAAGTTCGGATACTTAGAGGTCACTTTGATGACTGTGGCCTAATCTTAAGTAACAGTTACTCGACTTTCAAGGATCGTAACTATTTCGATTTTCATCATTTCAGGATGGTTCTTTTTGCAACATGTCACAAATGATGTCGTTTATAAGATTGCTTCAAGGATCGACATCCGAATGCGTTTGGAAGGCCATGAAATTCGCTTGAACATTTTAGACTTAGAATTGATTTTGTGTTGAGATTGTTCTCCACTAAGTCAAGGGTAAAGGCAAGATGTTGAGTTTGAGGATTCATTGATTATATATTGCTATAATACAAGTTGCTTGTATTCGAGCATTAGTAATTAGTGAATTAAAATTGGATATAGATCAAGTTTCTTTGTTTGTTCATCAAGATTCGGTTCATGGTAAAAGGTTTAGGTGTTTTATTTGGAATGCATTTCAAGGTAAAAAAAAGACCATTCAAGGAATCCAAGTTCATTCAATTCTAAATTCAAGAGTTTATGAAAGACATTCAAGTCTTATTTGACTAAAATGTTATTCAATAGTTATTTCAAGTCCAGACTTTATTCAAAGTTCAATT